ATTGCGACTCCCAGTGGCTGCGGTTCGCTGCTCCAGGCCAATGGGAGCTGCTGGAAGCGGCGGCGAGTACGTCTCTTGGTCCGCGCCACTTCCAGGAGCTCCCATTGGCCTAGAGCAGCGAACCGCGGCCACTGGGAGCCGCGATCGGCCGAACCTGCGGACGCGGCAGGTACACAAACCGGCCCGGCCCGCCAGGGGCTTTCCCTGCACAAGCGGCAGAACAAGTTTGGGAACCACTGATCTAGATAAACGACATACAGATGAGACTAAGTCCAACTCCCCTGACCGGGTGAGATCAATCTGTGACAGGATTTAAGTCAATCTCTAACTAATAGAAATCAGGAAGAGACTCCAGTGGGGGACTATCCCACATCTTTCTACTGTAGGGTTTCTTGCTTCTCCCTCTGAAGTGGCTGATGATGACCATTGCTGGAGATAGGATACTAGATTGGATGGACAATGGGTCTGATCCAGTATGGCAATTCCTTTTATTTCCTCAGTTTTACATATGAGACTCAAGGACATAAAGGACCTGATTCAAAGCCCATTGAAGGTCATGGGAGTCCTTCCACTTACTCAAAAGGTTTTGGATCAGGGCTTATGTGACTTGCTCACAACAACAACAACAACAACATAGAATAGATAATCATAGAATATCAGGGTTGGAACATACTACAGGAGGTCATCTAGACCACCCCCCTCCTCAAAGCAGGACTAATCCCCAGACAGATTTTTGCCCCAGATCCCTAAATGGCCCCCTCAAGGACTGAACTCACAGCCCTGGATTAAGCAGGCCAATGCTCAAACCACTGAGCTATATGAAAAGATAACAATGAACTTGTTCATTACCCTTACATCTCCAGTTCAAATAATCTCAATTCATTTCCTTGCCACTGTTAGTTTGTAATGGGTCTTGTGATTATATAAACAGATCAATTAGTGTATCTAATAAGAAAAATGCAAATCAGAGACAGTAACAAGACGCTCATGTGGCTTCTTGAGCTGTCGCCAGCCGAGTCCTCACTTTAACTTTAGACTGAAAATGGTCTTATTCACAGTTCAAAGAAACTATATTAGTTACAACATAAATAAAAGTATTTCGAAAAATAATATATTTTGTCCACAGCCAATTAATTAAGCTTGTGATCATGTGGAATGTAACCATGTCAGGATATGCTTTTAAATAACCTTTACACATTTGGTAAATGTAAAATATCATGACACAAAAAGAAGAGATTACACAAAAAATGGAAAAGAGTTGGAGAAGACTGGTGAAATCATAACAAAAAAAATTGGGAAAGCTAAGCAACAAGTGAACAATGCCAATTATTATACTAACATTCTTGTACACTTAATTATTTAGGCTTCTTCCACCTAAGAATCATGAAACATATTACAATAATTAATTAATCTTCAAAACACTACTCTAGAGTGGGAAAATATCATTATACATAATTTATGGATAAGTGACTTTTTCACAGTCACAGAGTAACTAAGTCAGTGGTAGAGATGGGAATAAAACATATAGCTCCTGAATAGCTAAGCTGCATACTTTAACCATAAAACTATTTCCTCCTGTTAAAAAATAATCTTGCAAACTCTGAAATATTCCTACTTGCAAATCCCCTAACCAACATATATATTTTTAAACTGCTAGTCACCATGCTTGGGCCTTACTACAACATCTCGGAGCTGCTAATCTGACAGAATACCAAACCTCAAAAGTTCAGCCCAATCTCATAGCCTCCAAATTGGGAAGAGCACAAAAGGACCACTCAACAAAAACACCAAGCAAGAGATCCATTGTCAACTACATTGGACAGTGACCTCAATCCTTCCACAAGACCCCACCGCCATCAGTACAGATGAAGTGAAAGACAGTTTAGCCACAATGAAGAAAGGAAAGATGGCCAGCAGAGATGGTATCCCCCTGGAATTTCTTCATCAACTAGGCCCCAGGAGAGTCCAATAGCTGGCAAAACTATACACCAAAACCATGGAATCTGGATGCATCCCAAAAGCCTGGCTGGAGGCGATAGTTATTGCCATACTCAAACCAGTCAAGCCAACCGATGACCCAGAAAGTTATAGGTCGATATCACTCCTGTGCACTACCTATAAATTCCTGGAATGTATCATTCTCTGGAGAGTCAGTCCTCTCGTCGAGTCAGTGATCCCCCGAAGAACAAGCAGGATTCCAGATTAAATGCAGTTGTTGCAACCAAATTTTGGCCCTTTGTAACACGTGTTGAGGCCGGATTCCGGAAGAAATTTAAGACTGGCGCAGACTTTGTAGACCTGTCATCAGCCATCAATACAGTCTGGATTAAAGGCCTGATGCGGAAGCTTGCAAGACCCGGCTGCAAAATGTTTCGCCTGCTATGAAGAGAAGAGTAGAAGCCAGTGAAGGAATTGAGCACTGCTTTATAGCTTATAAAGGTTTTTTTTTTCCTGTCCTTCCTCTTTAGCCTCTTCCCTTTGCCGAAGCTGCAGGAGAAACCTCACTGTGCGTCTCCCGCACTCCATTCCTTGCCCCTTTTACGTAGTAATCTCTGTATGGACCCGCTTTCCTGACTCCTTTTGGTCAGGAGGGTCTCTGCCGATTGAAGTCACTAAAACACAGGATTGGGGACTTCAACGGCAGAGTCCAGGGAAGGGTTTTGTGGCCTGCAGCATGCAGGGGGTCAGACCAGATGATCATAATGGTCCCTTCTGACCTTAAAGTCTATGAGTCTATGAGTCTATGTACTCTCCTCTTTCAAGCTGTACTCTAAGGCCTTGGCTACACTTGAGAGTTACAGCGCAATAAAGCCGCCCCCAGCGCTGTAACTCACTCCCCGTCCACACTGGCAAGGCATGTACAGCGCTGTATCTCAGTGGCTACAGCGCTGCAGGTACTCCACCTCCCCGAGAGGAATAACAGCTGCTGCGGAGTGGCTGAGACGCTGGTGCTCTAGTGTAAATGGGGAGTAACCTTATTACGCAGTGATTGACCTCCGGAAACTCCCCATAATCCTTTTAAGTGAAGCTTCCTATCCTTGTTTTGTTGTGATGCCTCTCTTTGTTTTGTTGTGAACTCCGGGCTCCCGGAGCTGCTTATCAAAAAAACAAACACAGTTACTGTTTGCTGTGAATGAGTAGAGGCAGGGCGGCTCCCTTTGGAAGCCCACAGCGGTGAGGGGGGAGAAGGGGTCCGATTCGGTGAGTGGCTGCTTATCTGATCTATAAGGAAAAAAACAAACAGCTCTGTTTGCTTTCAGTGAGTGAGAGAGGGGTGGAGGAGGGAGGGAGGTCGGAACTTGCAAGGCAGGGTGTGTGTCCGCACACCAAAAACCCACTCTCTCTCCCCCCACTTTTCCTGTCACACTCCTGTCACACTCCACCCCACCCCACCCCTTTTGAAAAACACGTTGCAGCCACTTGAACGCTGGGATAGCTGCCCAGAATGCACCGCTCCCAATGTCGCTGCAAATGTGGCCATGACAGTGCGCTGGCAGCTGTCAGTGTGGACAGACTGCAGCGCTTTCCCTACTCAGCTGTACGAAGACAGGTTTAACTCACAGCGCTGTACAGCTGCAAGTGTAGCCAAGGCCTAAAATATACCCTTTTCAAATGGCCTATAGTTCCTAGTCTTTGTGGTTTGCTGAAGCATTCTGATGGAAGCTTGGAAGAAACTTCCCCTATAGGCAGGTTATTCAATAATTGTCCACTATGGGCTTTCATGCATCTTCCTCTGAAGCATCTGCTAGGAGACCACTCATCTCATATGGCAATGCCTAGGTTGCGAGGATGAGTGTGGAAGAGGTTAATAGAGAGAAATAGGCATTAGATTTTTTTTTTAAAGCATGCTAGCTTAACTGCTTAGTCCTTAACTATTGTATCTCATCATTTGTTTATTGTCTACTAGGGCACCAACCCTAACCAGTAGGGCTGGTCAAAAATGCCAAATATAACATTTTCATTTTGTTCAAAATTTTCATGTAATTTTTCAACAAGATAAAACAAAATTCTTCATTTTGCCAATAAATACAGAGAAATTTGAAAGGAAATTAATGTATTGTGTGAAATTTCCTTCAAAACATTATTTTGACGCACTCTAGTAAACCCATGCAACTGGAAGTAAATTTACTACTGCGAGTGGTCCCATTTGTACAACCTGCTCTGTGGGCCGCAATCCTGTAATATGAGCCTCACAGCTGGACCTTCACACTTGTGTGGTGTCCCACTGAAGTCAGTGGGGCTCTACATGGTCAGAAGAGTCCACCCACACAGATCAGGTTGCAGTTTGAGGATTTTTGATTGTAACCTTTTCTAGGCAGGGCCTTTTCTTTATAACTCTCTGAAAAGCACCTCACTTACTTTAGAAGCTAGCAAAACACATAGACTAATAATAAGTGTTTGGGGATTGAAGGCGTTTTAATAGAGGGAAGCTATTATTAAACCTACTCCTTCCAGTGGTAGTTTTCTTAAAAAATATTCACATATGCAGCGTTGTCTTGACATCCCACATCATTAGGGTGACCGGACAGCAAATGTGAAAAATTGGGGCAAGGGTTGGGGGGAGCGGGGGAGTAATAGGAGCTTATATAAGAAAAAGACCCAAAAATCAGGACTGTCCTTGTAAAATCGGGACATCTCGTCACCCTACACATCATGGTACATGAGAGCCCCCTGCTATCATCATTTTGGTTATATGGAGAGCCTGCAATTAGTGTTGTGCTCATTGTTAAGTGTTTTTACTGGGCATGCAAAGAACCTTTAAAAAAAAGAGACAAATATTAAGTAGTTAAAAAGAAGTGAGTTTCTTACCAGACTATTTAATAGTCACACAGGTTTTGGCTTGAAAACTGTGCTTAGCTGGCTGGTGCTGCTGCGTGCAGACTGTGCAGTTCAGTGCAAGGAAACCAGCAGGCTGGGTGTCTGGGAATGGAGCCTCTTAATTGCTGAGAGACAGGAGAATGGGAAACTACAAATCCCAGAATGCATCGGGCGCTCGCTTCCCGGTATCCCCCCCCCCGGGGTGCTGTAAACATGGCTGGAAGCAGTGGCAGTGCTAGCGGCGTGGTGCCGGAGTACGAGGTGCCCGAGTTGCTCACGCGCGTGTTTCACGTGGGTTCCTTTGGCGCGCTCTGGAAGCAGAACCTGCACGGGGCAGACCTGGCTGTGCAGGGGGCGGTGGCAGAGGACGGGGCTGCCGCCGTGGCTGAGGATTTGGGCTGCGGGCTGGAGACTGCAGCAGAGCTTAGGGCTGTGTGCAGGTAACTGCAACTAGTGCATGGGGGAAATCCTGATTCCCCCCCCGCCTCCGCGATACACTCCCTTCTTGTGCGGGTCATTCAGGGGAAGCAAAAGCCTTTGTAATGCATGAAAAGCATGAGGCTCTGGGAGAGAGGAAGGAAGGATCTGCGTGCTGCTGCAGGGCTGACCCAGAGTGGTGGGAGGCGTTTATTTAGCCTTCGCAGAAGCTGCTAATTTCCTTAGGCCTGGTCTATATTTAAAAGCTTTGTTGGCATACCTGTGTCAGTCAGGGGGGTGCCTTTTGTTTTTATACACTCCCAACTCCTGGCTGAAAGAGCTGTGCCCTCTGTGGAGATGCGGTTATATTGGCAAAAAAAGGTTGGCTTGTGGCTATAACTTACTCTGCTTGGGGAACTGGTTTAAGCTATACTTGGTGCAAGTTGTGTATCGATTCGGGAGGGCTGGCAGGTATAGCTACTCCAGCAAACGCTTTCAAGTGTAGACATGGTGCTTAAAGTGCTTTTGTCAGTATAGCTTATGCTAGTTCCCTGAACTAAATAAACTGTACTGGCAAAAATGTGCTTGTTTTGTTTTTATAATAACAACTGTGCCTACAGTAGGGCTCTATTTGGTCTGAAAATGTCATAAAAAAAACACACCTCTAGCTGATAGTACAGTAGTGGCAAAAGTTTTAAGTGTAGACTTGGCCTTAGTCTGCCTTGCATGCAGGGCTGGCTTTAAGCACAAGCAACGCAGCTGACTCTTTGGGGCATAGACTTGCAATATGTGTGTCTTACTTTCCCATCTCCATTGTTAAGACTGGTGAGGAGGCTTCACTCCTTTGGGAGCCTCACGCCTGCTTGCAGACCAGTAAATTGTAAGGCTGGGCCCTAGTATCAAGGGAGAAAGTTGTCTAATGGCTAAAGCAACAGACTTGGAGTGAAAAGTTAATAGATTTTATGCCCAGAAAGGACCATTATTATGATTCTGTAATCTATCCTCCTGCATAAGAAAGGTCACAGAATGTCACCCACTCATTCTTGCAACAAGCCCATCAACTAGATGTGAGCTAGAATATATTTTGTAGACGTGCACCTGAGTTCTGTTTCTAGCTCTGTTACTGACTCAATGTGTGGCCTTGGGCAAATTTTGTGCCTCAGTTTCTCTATTTGTAAAATGAGGTTAATACTTACGGTGGGTGTTGCGAGGCTAAATGCATTTATATTTGCAAAGCGTTTTAACATCAGAGTGAAAGGAGCTGTAGTTCTCCAGAGTATTTTTAATATGTACCATGTAGAGAACTGGCTCAAGTTTATATGGTTTGATTTTAATTTTTTGGAGTTCTTTGCGAATGCTAGAAAGAAACCATTCGCTTTTTCAAGCTACACACATTGGACAAAGTTCAGACCTGGTGTAAGTAGGCATGACTCCATTGAAGTCAATAGAGTTGCACCAGCTTACCCCAAGTATTGAATTTGGCTTGGTAAGTTTCCTTCAGCACCCAACTGCTCATGATAATTACAAGTAAAAAGAAAGTACACATACTCTGAACAGCATGCTGTAGTAATAAAGGCTAGTAAAGCTGTAAGACAAAATTACCCCTGTGCCCATCTCCATGATAGCAAACACGGTGTTTAATATTATTCATCATTTAACCGGTGTTAACAAAAATGTCATTAAATGACAAAACTCATTTGTTAATTGCAATATTTATTTCAAAATGTGTGCCTGAGTGGAAAGCCAAAGCTGTTCTGGCAGAAGAAAAGCTGCTGGAGTGGGGTGACAAGAACATCTCTTGTTGCAGTTTGAAGACTGGAGGTAGTAACTATGAATACAGGGGGGAAACTATGAAGTACTAATCTAAGTGTCAGATCCATGTGTCAGATGTAGGTAAACATTATCTAAACATTAGAGCTTAGTAAGCTATTGAGGAAGGAAGGCCTGCAAAGATAATTGAGATGCTGCAGGAAGGAGTGTCTGTGATTCAGTAGGTGGTGCTCTTCAATCTTGTCTTCACTGGAAAAACATACCAAAAATTACCACCATTCTCTCACCAGTTGAATTGAACCAGTGTTTGCGCTGCTGGACGCTTTAATGTAGATAAGGTTCCAGTGCTAAAATAATTTTTCGACTGGTTTGATTGGACTTGGCTTTCAACAGGTCTATTGATAAAGAGAAAAGGGGCTCAGACCACTGGAGCCTTGCCTACGTTAGGGCTCCTGCTTCTTTTAATACTGACTTAGCAGAACCAGAGGGAATTCTTTTGTAAGCCTTCCCAGTGAGGATACAGCCTTTGAGGTTATGTCTACATAGCAAAGAAAACCCAGGGCTGGCCTGTGCCAGCCAACTCAGGCTTGCGGGGATCAGGCTGATGAGGTATTTGATTGCTGTGTAGACTTTCTGGGCTTGGGCTGGAGCCCAGGCTCTGGGACCCTTCCACTCCACAAGGTCCTAGAGCCTAGGCTCCAGCCTGAACCCGGAGGTTTTCACAGCAGTGAAACAGCCCTGCAGCCCAAGCCCCATGAACCTGAGTTGGGTGGCACAGGCCAGCCATGGGTTTTTCTTTGCCTGTGTCACTGCATTGTGCTGGGTGGTACTGTGCTACTAGAATTGTAATCTTCTGGATAAGACATACAGTGTAAGTCTTGAGCACTTGCAGTTAACTTTAACAGAAGCAGGGTGTCCCTGGCCAAATTCCAGTTTGCCATATTCTGCCTACCTAACAGATCCTGTGTAATTTCAGCTGGACACAGTAGTCTTCACTTCCTGCCGTAACTAGATAGTATGTCTTTGTGCTGTCAAATAGCTTTTGTTTTTCATCCCAGGAGTGGCTGTGCTATGGTTGCTGCTGATAATGGTTCCTGTTTATATTTTGTAATGTGTTTTGGGATATGTCAAAATGAAAGGTGCTTGTGATGCAGGGCCTGTAGTCTGTCAGTATATATTTCATCACAAGGGAAATTGATAAATCCTTGCTACTTCTACGACCACTAAAAAAGAAACCGATCATGCCCTTACACTACATTATCTTAACTCTGAAAGCCAAGAGTGATGGACATGCAAATTTTGACCAGTGAGAAATATTTACGGAGGCTAAGATCACAATGGCCTGTGAATGCAGGAATTGCAGACAGGAACGCTGGGGGTAATGGCAGGATGCTAAGCCTTGTGTTGGTGACAAAGACTACATTATATGCTCCAGACCATACTTCTTCATACACTCCTATGTGAAGCTGTTCATGTAACCTCACCCTGATATGATAATGAACTCTAACAATTGGGACTTGACAAGCAGGTTAGGTGAGGAATAGAGGCATCTTCTCTGCAAGCTGGGGAGAGGCTGTCAGGCTTACCAGGAATGGTCAGTAAGGAGACTTGATATCTAGAGATAAGATTTTATTTTCTTTCTCTAAGTGTCTCACTGGGCTTTGCAGAGTATTCATTTGAGGTATGTTATTCAAACACTTTTATTACCAACAAAGAGAAAACAGTAGTAAAACAAGTCTTCAATTTAACAAGAAAATAGTTAAGACTACTGCTGTTGTACTGCGTAACTTCATGCAGAATGCCCCAAGCATAAGAATCTCCAACCTCTAGAGCAGTGTTCTCAACCTGTTTATCATTGTGGGCCACACCTAATGCTACCTGCATGGCCTTGAGGATGTTACATGGGCCACACCCCAAGTTCCACGGGCTTTTTAATCCCTTCAGTTTGTTTTTTACATGTGCTTTTTAATTTTTCAGCATCCTTCAGTTTCTACTTGTTTTTCTCTGTATCTTCTATGTGTTGAGTTTTCCTCCTGCAGATCTCTCCTCCTTTATTTTCTTTTTCCCCTCCAGTGTTGCCCCATGTGTTGTCTCCCCCCCCCCCCGCCCAATGTTACAGAACAGCACTCCCTTCATGTTGTCTTTTGCACTGCAGAGAGCAGTGAACTCTAATGCCATCTAGGAGAAAGGAGTAGGAGAGAACATGGGGCAGGCAGCAGCTGTCCGGGGTAGAGAACAAGTCACCTGACAGCAGCCCATTGGTCCTGTAGCAGAAGGAAGGCAGGTGTGCATACCCAGGAATGGTCTGGCACTGCTGCAAATTGGTTCCCTAATCTCTCATGTTGTTGTTCTCCTCTCAAACTAAATAGCCCTAGTTTTGTGAATCTCACCTGATATAGGTCTTCCCAACCCTTAAGACTGCCTCTGATTACTTTCAATTCCTTCCCTTGTATTCTTTCTGTCCCTCTTTCTTTGGGATGAGGTGACAACTTGAATGCATTCTTCAGTCTGTATTAGAGAGAAGCAACAGGCCACGGTCATCCCTGTTGTAACCCTGACTTCACAGGACTTCTACTTGAAGCAGATGCATCCTGGATGTAATCATTTTCAGTTTTATCTACAATAACTGTTCTCATAAACGAAACAGTGATTTCAATGAAAAGGTGAATTTATGCCCCATTAGACTAGTGTGTGAGGGGAAAGAGGGAGAAAAACTCCTCCCTCACTTCCTTTAAATAGCAACAAAAAAGGTAACGAAAGCAGCCTGTTTATAATGGGCTGAAGGAACTTTATAAAAAAGAGTTCATAATTACAACTTTATAATTTCCATAGTTAAATCCTGTTAAAATACATTACATGGTTAAATGTCTATTCTTGACAATCTACTTTATCAAATTATCTGACATTAAGAAACAATGGAATAATATTTAACTTGGTGCATGTTCTAGCATCTATACCTATATTAAATCTCTTAAAAGACCTACCAAAGCAGAGAAATTGCGGTATTCAGTTTCCATGCACGTGTCTGGTTCTGATTTGTATATTAGTCAACTTTCACTTGCCTACCTACTAATCTTATCAGGTTGTATGTGGAACTGATTTTTATAGATCCTTCAGTTTCTCCTGGATTAGAAATTAACTTGTATAAAAAGCTATACTTATCCTACAGATGTCATTGGCAATTATTGTTTTGCTTAGATAACCATTGTGGGTTGCTGTTCACGTACTTAGGTGGCTAGGTTCAAATCTCTAA